AAAAAAAAAAAAAAAAATCCACTAACTGCTAAAAGCATGTTTCATCTGAGTCTCTTCTTACAGTCAGTGAGAGAACTGGGATCTCTTCCCTGTGGCCAGAGTGATCAGTTCTTTGACCATGAAGGTAGACCTGGTATAGGTCAGGGGGTTGACGTATACTTGACATAGGTCAAATCCTCCTGGCCAGCAGGAAGCCTTCCCAGTTTCCCAACAGTGCACTTTTTATTTGTGACGTTTTTCCCTTCTATCCCATTGCTATTTTCCCAACTTATCATCCTCCCTTGTATTTTTCCCCTTGGGATCTTTCCCAACCTGATTCCAGCCCAGAGATTTTCCAGTGTATTTGCTGGAGCCTACTCCCATCCCTGACCAAACATCACTAGCTTTGCTTAGTTTTTTGGTTTTTTGAGACAGGGTCTTGCTCTGTCACCAGGCTGAAGTGTAGGTGGCACAGTCACAGCTCACTGTAGCCTTGACCTCCTGGGCTCAAGCGACCTCCCACCCCGGCCCCTGAGTAGCTGAGACCCCAAGCATGTGCCACCACATCCAGTTAATATTTTTATTTTTTGTAGAGGTGGTGTCTTGCCCAGGCTGGTCTCAAACTCCTGGGCTTAGGCAGTCCACCCACCTTGGCCTCCCAAAGTGCTGGGATTGCAGGAGTGAGCCACCGCACCCGGCCTCGTTCTGCTTGTTGTGCCCCTACAGGTTTCCTCCAGCTTACTGAATCTCTGTGAAAATACATCAACCCCAACATGCCAGATATAGTCTGTTCCCTAGCTCCCCCTGCCCCTTCCAGGTCATTGGCTCACTGCCTCCTTTCTATAGTTATTTTTCCTTGAAAGTTTTCTATAACTCTTCTTACCTTTCACCCTGTCATTGGTCAGCTTCCAGGGTAATTCCCTACATTTATTAAGAGCTTTAGCCTATGGTTCGCAGTCTTCCTCTCCTCTCCCTCACTTGTCACAACATCTTGGACAACTTAAATGTATTCATCAGCTCTCCAGCTTCATGATTCCCTGAACTTCTCTACCAACCTTCGTCTCCATTCAGCTTTAGCTCTCCACTTACATGACCATATCCTATCTTTGTCATTACCCAAAACCTCTAAAATCATCATGGGGCAGTAGCTATGCTATATACTGGGGATATAATCATAACTACACTGTTCCATCTCTCCTCTCAATGTTCTTGGTTTGTTTGTTTGTTTGTTTGTTTGTTTGTTTTGAGACAGTTTCACTCTTGTTGCCCAGGCTGGAGTATAATGGTGCCATCTCGGCTCACCGCAACCTCCACCTCATGGGTTCAAGCAATTCTCCTGCCTCAGCCTCCCGAGAAGCTGGGATTACAAGCATGCACCACCATGCCCAGCCAATTTTGTATTTTTAGTAGAGACAGGGTTTCATCATGTTGGCCAGGCTGGTCTTGAACTCCCGACCTCAGGTAATTCGCCCCCTTCAGCCTCCCAAAGTGCTGGGATTAGAGGCGTGAGTCTCCGTGCCTGGCGCCCTCAATGTTCTTATAGTGAAGTAGAGGAGAATGGTATAATGATGTAGGAATAGAGATTAGGTATTAGGTATTAGGTACCTGTATTAACCACTGTATTAGGTACAGTGGTTTCACAAAGTAGGAAATGGACAGTTCTAAAGGGAAGGCATCACATATTACAGGTACTACATTAGGGCACACAGGGTAATAAGAGTGCAATGGGAAAAAATGGAGGAGGAAGCATTCTAGGCAGAGGCAACAGCATGCGCCAAAGTTCAAAGGTATAAAACAGGGCCAAGCGCAGTGGCTCACACCTATAATCCCAGCACTTTGGGAGGCCGAGACGGGGCGGATCACTTGAGCCCAGGAGTTCCAAGACCAGCCTGGCCAACGTGGTGAAACCCCGTCTCTACTAAAAACACACACAAACGCAAAAAAAAAAACAAAATTAGCCACGTGTGGCATCATATGCCTGTAGTCCCAGCTACTGGAGAGGATGAGGTGGGAGAATCACTTGAACCCAGGAGGCAGAGGTTGCAGTGAGCCAAGATCGTCCCACTGCACTCCAGCCTAGGTGACAAAGCAAAACCCTGTCTCAAAAAAAAGGAGGGGGGCATATTAAAACAGTATGGCTTATTGGTAAAATGGAGAATAAAATGGAGAACAGTGGGAAATGAAGCTGGAGAGGTAGGCAAAGATGTCATGGAGGGCCTTATGGATTTGACCTTTATAGAAATAGTAATAGCCACAACTTATTGAGCATTCACTTACCTTTAACTAATTTAATTCTCACAACAACCCTATGCAGTAGGTGTCATTATTTCCGTATTATATATAAGGTATTGCCCTTTCTTTGACTATCTCCATTTATCCTTTTAGCCTCATTTCTTACTCTTATCCCCTCGTTTCCTATCCTCTGGCCACACCACAGTACTTCATGGTCCCTTTTCTCCCATCTCACTGTCTTTGCCCTTGCTGTTCTCACAGCCTAGAATATCTTCCTTTCCATCACTGCCTGGAGAAACTGTTCACCCTTTAAGACCCAGTTTCAGTTCTCCTATTTAAAGCTCTCCTATTAATAGCCAGGTATGTAGAAAGTTGGTCCCATCCTCCTGCATAGGAAGGTGCTCCCTCTCTCATACCCCTATTCCCAAGAGTTTCTCAAGAACAGAGCCACAATAGTAGAGAAATAAATTTTTGTGAACACAGAATTAAAAGCAGTTGGGTTTGGCTGGGCATGGTGGCTCACACCTGTAATCCCAGCACTTTGGGAGGCTGAGGCTGGCAGATCACCTGAGGTCAGGAGTTCGAGACCAGCCTGGCCAACATGATGAAACCCTATCTCTACTAAAAGTACAAAAATTAGCCAGGCCTGGTGGTGGGTGCCTGTAATCCCAGCTACTCGGGAGGCTGAAGCAGGGGAATCGCATGAACCTGGGAGATGGAGGATGCAGTGAGCAGAGATTGCGCCTTCGCACTCCAGCCTGGGTGACAAGAGTGAAACTCTGTACCCAAGAAAAAAAAAAAAAGCAGTTGGGTTTGGGTTTGAAATGTCATCTTGCTGCCAGTTCTCAGGAAACGTTTTCCCTTTTGTTTTGTAGCTAAACGAGTGAACGAGGTGATCGTGGGGAGTGACCAGCTCATGGAGATCTGAGTTCTGAGCAAGTCAACCGCCTTCCTTTTGGCCTCCAAAATCACATGTGGCCCACATGTTTCACTCTGTATTTATTTCCCAATAAAGAAGGGCTTCCAAAGGCATGCTGGAGACTTGTGGAGCAGTCCGAAGCTCCACGTCAGGTGGGCTCCGGGTGTACACAGTGTTTATGTTCATGAGTCAGATGGTAAAGATCATCTGGAGCAAGGGTATGTGACAGGACAGACATAGTGGCCTAACTCTTATGTGCCAAGGTGCATCAGGTGGGGGCAGCAGCTGTCCGATGGAAAGCTGCTAGGAAGGCTGCTTTCTGACCGGCTGACCCAGCCCAGTCCTGAAAGTATCCCCCACCTAAAAGGACCTGGGAGTACTTCAGTCCCTTATCCTAATCAGCCTTTCTAGACCCATAGGCCTAGCTGCTGGCAGTGCCAACGCTGAGCATCAGCCCAAGACTCTGCTCCCATACCTGCCATACAGATTCCCAGCCCCTTCCCCCACCTCACCCACAGCCCCACCCTCCATGCTCACCATTCACTCCCTCACCTCCCAGCCTCTAGCCATTTTCCCCAGTTCAACTAATATCCCTTGAAGACTCTGAACAGAAGCAGGGGCAGCCCCTGCCTAGCCAACAAGTCTATTCCCACAGGTTTTAGTAGAGATAACATGAAGAGCCATGGTTTGGGCCAAGTCAGACCCCGCTGCACCTCACCTCACTGAGGTTTGCCCAACCTGGGAAGGAAGAGCCAGAAACCTGTATCATGACTTGAAATTCCTTCTGACTGTCCTCCACCTGCACTCCTTTATATCCTAATTCTGCAGACTCTCCTGCTTCAGATAATTGAGGAATGAAATTTCCATATTCACAGCCCTTCTAGAGGCATATCCACCTTCCCTCCACCACCCCTGCTTCCAAACACATTCACTCTGCTCTCTCCCTGCATTTCTTTTACAATGTGCAGGTGTTTGGTGGAAGATAAAAGTGGTTCCTGGGGTGAGATTTCACCTCCTAGAATTATCAAAGTAAAGGTTTCTCTTGATGTCTTCACTGTGGGTGGCAGTAATTAGAAAGAATTATTTGAAATACTGGTTTCTGCATTGCTTCAAAAACCTCAAGGCTCTCAAGTTTACTTGAGTAATCTTGCCTATCTTAGTCACAGAACTTGTGAGAGACTCGATGAGTATTTCGACCCTGGGGGATCTCCACCTCTGTCAGCCTTCTTGAGAGCCCTGGAGCTCCACATTCCTCCCACTGGTCAGAACAAGGCTCCTGAAAGTTTGCCTTCATCAGGCAGGAGCTGAAATGGCCCGGCAGAAGTGGTTGAAACCACTAGGGCTGAGGGGGATGTGGGGATAAAGAGCTGTGGTGGTGCCCAGCGTGGTCCCCTTTGGAACCAAAATTAAATTGGTGGGGCCTAGATGGTGCTGGAGACAGAGTCCTGGCCTGGGTGGAAGAAAATCTGTCCTCTGTAATGTTTGGTTTGGGTCAAATCACTCTCTCCTCTCTGACCTTGAGTGTTTCCATCTGCAAAATGAGAAAGTTAGACTGCTTGACTGTTAAAGGCCCTTCTGGTTCTCAGGTTTTGTCCTCTTTCCCTGAACTTTCTTCCCCTTAGGGCCTGGGTCTCCCAAGGAGCCCTTGACCACAGAAAAGGGTTGGGAGGGAAAGTGGGGTGGAGGAGTAAAGGGCATTGATTAAACTGTCTCAGAGCCCTCCTATACACTCTTTCCTGTCCTTCCCCATGGAGGCCTTAGAACCCCTGACAGTGAGACAGAGGAAAAACCTCTCCTGTGCCTTCCCTTTGCACAAGTCCATCGAACGGCCTCTGCATCAAGGAAAGGAAGGAGCTGGAGAAAACAAAAGGTAAAAGCTTTCCCAGAGGAAGGCGTTGTTGAGTTTGAGTCCCAGCTGGGAGCAGCCCCCAGCTCAGGACACTGCTGCTATTGTCTGACAGTTTCAGGACTGGCTGGGTGCCCAAGATGCTTTGATTTTTCTTCTCTTTGCTCTGTTTGTCTGCCAGAAGGCAGGGACAGTTTTTGTTTTCTTTTGGTAGCAGCTACAGAGGGGTTGAGTATGTCTGAAACATAATGAGCAACTGAATGTCCACTGGCCAGCCACCTCTCTATGGATAGAAATCAGAAAAGCCAGGCAGGCAGAAGAGTTAATAGAGCCTGCCCTGCCCCTCCCAGTGATGCTCAGTGAGGGGAGTGGAGCAAGAGGAGAAAGGGGACCTCGAATGCTGAATCAGGGAGGGCCCTGGGGATGTGCTGAGAAACAGAGTTCCAGGAGCTTGCCGTCTCAGACATAACTTGACAGCTGCTACTCCAGGAATCCATCCCCCAGTTACAACTCATCCTTCCCTGCTGGCAAGAGTTCCTTGAGCTGAGAAGACTACTACTACCCAGGATGATTACATCAGGGGCCTTCTGCCATGGATAAATGGGGAGCTGCTGCATTGGTTCTTAGCCTCTTTCCTTTCCCCATACTTGAAGTGAGGGGCCATAAGCTCCTGTGAGCCTATAAGAGTGCCAAGATTGCCCTCCAAGCTGTTTCCCAAGGCCAAAGGTCAAACTTCTTCCCAGTTCTTAACTACATTACTATTACTACATTATTATTACCATCCCACTTCCATAACCAATGGAGGGAGGGAAATTGTGTTTAGCTGAAGCCCCAGCAGGAATCTAGGGCCTTCATGGCCTAGTTGAGAAGTTGTTTCTATTTCCAGAGAATTGCAGGGGATACACTTTCTTTATCCATAGCTATCCCTACTCCTAAGGAGATACGTAAACCAGGCCTTTGTATGCAGCTTTCTAAGTAGTTAAATATGTCTGAAGAAGGGGGAGGCCCATGGAAAGGACCACCCAGACAGAAAGTCTAGAAAGCTCTGCTCTAATGAAGCTGACACGGAGGGAGAGACTGGGCAGGAGAACACATTCTATTGGAAGCCAGTATGACCTGTCCTTGGCCTGAGCCATCTGCCACTACCCAGGATGATTGCATTAGGGGGCTTTCTGCCATGGATAAATGGAGAGAGGCTGCATTTGTTCTTAGCCTCTCTCCTTCCCCCACACTTAAAGTGAAGGACCATTCCCTAATCTCTGCTTGCAGCCCTGGTACCAAATACTTGATAAGTGCGACAGGCACAGTGGCTTACGCCTGTAGTCCCTGCACTTTGGGACTCCAAAGCGGGTAGATCACCTGAGGTCAGGAGTTCAAGACCAGCCTGGCCAACATGATGAAACCCTATCTCTACTAAAAAATACAAAAAATTAACCTGACATGGTGACAGGCGCCTGTAATCCCAGCTATTCAGGAGGCTGAGGCAGGAGAATCGCTTGAACCCAGGAGGTGAAGGTTATAGTGAGCCAAGATCACACCACTGCACTCCAGCCTGGGCAACAAGAGCAAAATCCATCTCAGACACACAAATACTTGATACATGCTACTGGCCTCAGCCTGCCCACAGGGAAGGAGCATACACACCCAGGCTTGGCCCCTAAATGTAACAGGTGGTGATGGGGCTGCCCAGGACCCCCACTTCCCTCCTCCACATCTCAGGGTCATTGACTCTGCTTGGCCTAGATAACAGAAGCCGCCAAAAGCTGGTGAGTGAGAATCCTAGAGGAATGCCAGAGAAAGAAAGCCTGCCTTGCGTCCACCATGAATTAACTCCCACATGAACGCCCCCCTGAAGCCAGACTGGTCACTTTACCCAGCACTGTGTGTGTGTGAGTGTGGTCCACCTCACTTTTCCTGGCACTGTTTCTCAGCCATATGGATTATCTCATTTAATCCTTATGTTAATGTCAGAGATTATGTGACTTCCCCAAGATCTCACAACCAGCAAACAAAAGATCCAGACCATGAGCCATTCCTTTTCATTTTAGACTCTGTCATCCTCCCACCTCCCCCATCCAGTTCCTTTCACTTCTGGAAACATCCCTGAGTACCCCCAACTCAGTGGTTTCCCCTGTGGTCTCTGTGCTCCCCCTCAGGCTATGAACTTTAAAGCAGGTACCCTGCAACACCAGAACCCAGCAAAGGAATGGACACACAAGAGATCCCAAGGCTGGGCGCGGTGGCTCACGCCTGTAATCCCAGCACTTTGGGAGGCCGAGGCGGGCGAATTGCCTGAGCTCAGAGTTCAAGACCAGCTTGGGCAAAACGGTGAAACTCTGTCTCTACTAAAATACAAAAAATTAGCTAGGCATGGTGTCACGTGCCTGTGATCCCAGCTACTTGGGAGGCTGAGATGGGAGGATCACTTGAGCCTGGGTGGTGGAGGTGGCAATGCACCAAGATTGTGCCACTGCACTGCAGCCTGGGTGACAGAGTGAGACCCTGTCTCATTAAAAAAATGTTAAAAAGAGATCCCAAGACACGTTTGTCTCATGAGTCAGTAATGAGATTTAATTAGATTGCTTTTCTCCTGTTATTTGGAGAATATCTCTAGTTTAGGCTTAGCTGGGCTCAGGAAACCATTTTGTTTGGGAGAATAGAAGTCATTTTGTAGCTTGGAACAGCCAGACAGCACTAGGCCTTAGGTTGGAAAGGCTGGAAACTGTAGACCCATTTCTCCCACCCTAGTCTTTCAACTATAAGGCAAGAGGTTTCCTTAATAACAGACTTTGCCTTGGAAGCATCCATAGAATGATCGACTTTGCCACAATTGTTAGCAGTGATGGGCCTATGATGAAAGCAGAGTCCCAAGGCCCAAGTGGTTACAAATCTATTTCTCCAAGGACCTTATGTCTTGCAGAGTCTGGTAAAAAAGGAAGGAGATCAAGAGCTACTTAAAGCATAGCATCAGGAGTTGCACTCCTGATGACAACCAGTGCTGATTCCAGGCTTCTCCCTGTCTTCAGCTGTTGCCCCAAGAGCAAACTAGGAGCCCATACAGACTAAGTGTCTGTTTAGTTTCTATTTCAGAGACTTGCTAGGCTCTTTCTAGCTGTTTCTATTTCAGAGACTTGCTAGGGATACACTTTTTTTTTAATCTTAAATTTTTTATGTTATCATTATTATTGCTTTTTGAGGCAGGGTCTCACTCTGTCGCCCAGGCTGGAGTGCAATGGCACAATCACAGCTCGCTGCAGCCTCTACCTTCTGGATTCAATCAACCCTCCTGCCTGAGCCTCCCAAGTAGCTGGGACTACAGGTGTGCGCCA